TNTNTTCTTTTCTTTTTTTTTTTTTTTTTTTTAGTTTGTTGAAAAATAATTTTTTTTTTCTTTCTCTCTTTTTACAATACTTCCTTGTATGATCGATCCGCGACGCCGCGGATCACCAGTGTCATCGCTTGTATGATGAATCGATCGGAAAGAACGAAAAACAGCGTCGAATTGTCCGAAACATAAAAAGTTACTAAGATTACAAATCACAAATGAAATCACAGACTTTCGTTGGTGGTTTGACAGAGGGGAGGGGGCCGCACATTGCAATTAGAACAACATTGTAGGCATTATTCTTATATCAGGAAAAGTTTTGATGGGCCTCGTATATTTTTATAGAGGTATTCTCTTCTTTTACTGTAGATTACCCCCAACTCAATCTATTCCCATCCATTCTCCTTGATCATATGAGCAAGCTCGATTATAAACTTTCCCTCTTTATATTTTTGACTCGACTCGAACGCATGCTCCTACAAAATTTCCAAATGATATTAGAGAATATTTGGATCGATCCGTGTATATACACACGTATATTTAAATATTTTTGGAAAAATTTTAAAAAGGGAACTTACGTATTTCCACCCAAGGGTGGTCTTGCAACACTCGCAATAAATATCAGCGACAGCATGAAGGCCAGTTAAGAGAACTCGCTCTTCCGCAGGACCACAGCCCACGTTCACCCTAAAACAATAAAGGGGAACGATCATTCAATTATATTATTTAGATAAACATCTTATCGTGTCAAGGAAGATAGAATAGATAGAAATAGATAGAAGAAAGAAAGAGAGAGAGATGTGAAAAACACGAGAAGTTTCACAAATAAAATATCGTGTCCTACTTTCCACAACGATTCGATCTTGTGCCTCTGTGACTCTGAAGACATTAGCATACTTACACGGAATTAAAGAGATAGGCACGACCTTGACTGCCCTGGAAGGACTGCAATCAAAAGGAAAAAGCTTATTACAGTAGACTGTACATACATAGCCACATACATATGTACACAATATATACATACACATAATACGCATATCACGGTATACATGCTGTGTGTACCGAGCTCGGAAGTGAATGCGAGAAGTCTGTCCGTTACCTGATCTAGCACGGCTCACCTTAGAGATGAGTTCGTCGTGGTTGGCGAGGTGAGCACGGCAGTGAATGCACGAGTAAGTGCGGTGACACGAGGGCAGGTATGCTTGAAAAGTTTTGACCATGATGGCGTGTCCAAGCAAGCAAAGGAAACTTCGCCCTTGTTTTCTTCTTCTTCTTCGTCGTCGTCGTCGTCGTCGTCGTTGATTTTCTTCCCTCGTTTTATCAAGTGTCAGAAGCCCACTTTTTTTTCTTCTTGCTCGTCGTCTTCCTCTCTTGTTCGTGGAAACGTCTGGCCGTTAACAACCAGCGGCCGATTAATGTAACGAATTTCTCCAAATCGCGGGGTGGTGGTGCAATAGTGGCCCCGTTCACCGCCGCTTCGTACTCCGATCAGCTGTTGAGCTGGTTCAGACAGCGCCGGTTCGGGGACACCTGTGAACGCCGAATATTATAATATAATATTATTTTTGTTTGATGATCGTCATCATCGACTCCTGATATGAAAAAATTATAATGTCTTCCTATCCGTTGTGCAACACTTAAAATTATGCGCTTATAACACGTACGATGACGACACGTGTTATATATCTTTGTCAGGAATAGCCGTATGATCTAATCTAACGCAATGCGTTCAATTCGATTATCATGAATCTCTGTCTTAAGATAATGTCTAGAAGAGAATTATATAAATGAGAACATTAAAAACATTAAGAAAATGTTTTTTTCTTTTTTAGAAAAAGAAAGAAAAACTTCGCGTTTTTCTTATATATATATATATAGTTGTAATAAATGTAGTAAACAAACGTAGTCACGTGCAGAAAAGACTAAAATTACATTCGGTTACGGATTAAAAATAAAACAAATATTGGCTCTTGCGTATATTCTTCAGAATCTGCGCTCTCGTTACATTGTGGGCTCCACAATATTTACTCACTATCATGTATATTATTCCACGATTATCAATTTCGAGTTATTTATAACGATTCGTTAAATAATGTGCTCCTGCCACCATGCGCCATGGCGCTTTCTTACTATTAGTAAGATTATATAGCATTGAAAACAAAGAGCAAGAAGTAGGAAAGATAAAAAAAAAAAAAAGAAGGAAGGAAATATTTCCATATGAACGTTGTATAAAAGAAAAAGAAAGATAGGAAGAGAATAGATAACATGCGGTGCATCGTATACATAAAAATAAGAAATGCATAACGGACACGCAACGGCGGAGGAGCGAAACTGCTCGAACATTTTAAAGCGCAATAGCATTGATGTACGTTCCATATCGAGCGACCGGCTACGCCACGTGCTGGCGCGTGTTCAAACAAAGAAAAGAGACAAGGTCTTTATTATGATGCACCTAAAGAAAGACTTCTTTATAAGGACCGGAGAAGTACGGGCTAGTCTTTTCTTGTTGAGTGTTCACGCTTCCAACCCGTTTTCGTACCTATATCTTGTTCTTTTCTAAAATTGTTTTAGATCTTTCTTTGGAATTATTTAAACAGAAAATAATATCTGATGTTGAAAAAATAGGGATTTTAAAATGGTTTTAAGTTGGTAATCTTCAAAATTGTTAAACGAAGTTTGAAAAATGATCCAAAGAACAGATAAATAATCTCATTAATTGTAGTTGAAGTTGTATATTGGCAGAAAAATAATTTATCAAGATCATTTCAAAGTAAAAAAGTTTAATAAGCAATATTATGTTAGAAAAGGTAACAAGAAATATATATATATATACGTATGATTCTTAAAACAAAATTAACAACATTCTGTTACCCTATACCCTTTTGTAACCTTGGACGGGTTTGAAGGTCATTGTACTCATAATCAGACTCGTTAAGTTTCTTCCATATCTATGCACTAAGAATGCTTCAACGAAAGAGCAACATTTCATTTAAAATACTCAATAATAATAATTGTTTTTAAAATAATCTTGAAAGAAAAAGATTTCTACCAATATCCAAATATTGAGAAAAAAATGTGAATAAAATTATTATTTTTTATTATCTTCTCCCTTAAAAAAAAAAAAAGAAATACTCGAAGCGAGATAATTTTATTCTTTTTCAATGCTTATTATCCAAAAATAATAATGAAAAACATACATGAAAAGAAGAAAAAAAAAATAGTATCAACAACATTAAAATTCAATTCAAAAGTCTTAAAATAAAATTTATCGTTGTTCATTAATATGAATGAAGAATGCATAATAATTGTAATCATCTCGTTTCCATAATGTATTGCAAAAAACACACACACACATAATGGCGTATGTAGAAACAAAAATAAAAACTTTTGTTTTGATACACCGGAACAAGATATCTCTGCTTTATAAGAATGAAAGAATGGTAACCTCTTATTTGGATTTAGACACCAGACTTCTGTGGTTTTAATCCTTTCTTTTCTTCTTCAATCCTTCTTCGTCGCGTCCTTTTCTTCGTTTACGTTCCCTCTCTCTTTTTCTTTCTGTCCCACTTGCTCTCTTTTTTTTCCAACTTGAGTCAATCGAAACAATGATTCGTCGTGGCCTTGCAATAACGGTACTACTTCTCTTTTCAGGTTTATGGCAGCGAGCAGAATTAGCAGTCTGTGTGACACAACTGGTGGACACGCTTCCTGCTGTATTATTTCTGACGCATGAGAGTAACTCTAAAGACCATAAAAAGGAAAAGAATGCGACGTAATTAAAAATGAATTGTTCCTTAAAATTTCATAGATTTTACTTTCTGCAATTTTTAACTTATGGTAATTCGTTTATATTTAAAAACAATCCTTAATGAATCTTGATCAATCTTGAAAATAAAATAATCTAATATATTATGTAAAAAAATAAAGTGATACAAGAAACGCTTTAAATCGTAATTTTAATGAATCGGGCAAATAATTGGTTTAAACTAATTGATTTAAATTAGATATATAATTAGATCTAAATAAAAAATGCATATGTTGCATATATATGTTACTTTCATCCATAAATGTGTAAAATTTATCAATTTATTTATTATCAATATATATTCTGCTTAAAACAACGAACTGACGTTTAAGAATAATTAAAAATTTATTTATTTTTCAAGATATATTGAAATATTTGTTCCGTATATTTTTTTAATTAGCAAATTCAAGAACTTTGTAAAGATTTAAAAAGTATATATACTAATAACACGTTAGGAATAACACAAGGAAAATGATAAAATCTGAGATTTTTTTTGCAGAATAATTATCCATCATAAATTTAAAACGTAGTTTCATATTTAAATGAGCAAACTTCTTTGCAATTGAACAACACATTGAAATGTAAAGAATACTAAATACATACAAAAATCCATACGTATAATAATATTATTAGCTTGAATCGTTATATTATTATTTTATATTGATTGGACATCCGAAATGAAAAATTAATAGAGCTCTAAGATATGATCTTCAAGAAGATATCTCTCAGATAAAATCAAAAAATTTCTCATGCTTATTCGAGCATCCTTGAATACAACGACCATACAGAACATCTGTATAGAATGGTGGCGCGCGGTTCGATGGCCGCGGACTATGAATCCGCAGAAAGACCGCAAGAAAGAAGTTTCCCGACGAATTGTTAGGAACAAAGAGATGGAACATTCGAGTCAATACACGACCCAAGGTCATTGCTACCCGTCGCCGACGCATCCTCGGAATTTCCGATTTTCTTGTCATCCTTTTTTTCCCCATGCCAGTGCAGACAGCGCGCGCGCCCACCTCGCCATGAATAAGACACGAAGAATCCAGTGAAAGCCCGTTCCTACCTGCAATAGATGCTTTGTTTCTTCACCAGGCGTTGGTGTATGACGCGTATGATATACCTGTTCCAGACAAAGCATACAGTGGGAATACACGTGTAACAGATGTCGCTCATGGTATCCTACAATGTACGGTCTACTTTCAAAAATTCAATTGCATAGTAAAGAACTTATGCGAAATTTGCGAAACGTACGTGTTTTCAATTGTGCGAATATCGCTGTTAATATTATCTCACACGATGTTTATAAATAATAAAACTTATTTTTAAAAATAAGTACTATCTATCTTATTTTAATATTAAAAATAAAAAAAAAATTGTATAAAGATGAACTATGGAACCATGGTTTAACTTTCTCGATCTTTTCAACGTAAGTCATATGTTATTCGGTAGAATGATAAGATAATTGATCGTATACTTTTGATACTGAATACGAAAAAAAAAAAAAAATATTGACATTAAAATTTCAAAATATTCATAGTCATTAGATAAAACAAAGGCATTAATATCTTGGACGTTTATAAAAAATTGACGTAAGTGATATTGATAAAGTTAAAACGATAGAATTAATTGTTTCAAGAAATTAGTTTTTTCAGGAAGTATGGATCAGTATCTTCTAATCTTCTATAAAGATTAGATTAAATATCAATGAAAATTATATTCCCTAATTATTATACGTAAAGTCATTGAATAGTTTATCAATTTTTTTTTCTAAGAATATGAAAATTCTTTCTGTAAGTAATCTTAATAAGTAATCTCAATTTCATGTTTTTATATGATTAAATGTAAACCTGATGAGCTAATTATTATATTAATTACTCAATGAGTTCGCAAACTTTCGATTCGATGTAAATAAGGAATAACAGATAGAATCAACGACATTCAATGAATAATCCTCTAATATCACGTTATCGCATAATTTTCCCATGGGAAATTTATTCGGCGCGGAAGGTAACGAGGTTACAGGAGAAATTTTGTTAAGGTCCGTGTTCTTCCCATCGATAATTTCACGTTTGCGCGACCAACCTGTCCATTTTTAACTTAATCATAACTCCATCGGTGACATTAAACCTCTCGAAGCGATCACGTACTTAAAATAAAAAGCAAAATGTCCTCATCGGAAATATCTACTTAATATCACAGTAATTAAATATTAATCAATTATCTATCTTTAGATTTTACAACAAAGCGAATTAACATCGATTGAATGTCAATAATAATATAATCTTCGTTTATCTTAATTAATTGAAATCACCAACTGATGATCGTTTGGTACTCTTTCGTTAATGTTCAATTTATATTGACCACCGTTCAAAATGGTACCGAATGAACCAGCCTGTCAGAATCGTAAATTGAAACGATCGTAAAGATTCATGAAGCGTCGTTAAATAACACTTATGTTAATGATCGCACGCATACACATACGTATACAAACGTATACACGCACGAAATGGTTCCAATCTAGTAGAAATGTGACGATTGTCGTAATAAAAGCACGCGGAATATATGGCCGACGGCCAATGGTACAAAAATTCTTGCCGATTCTAATTTCATCCCAGGATTTGTGCGTAAAACCGTTCACATTCGATTTATTTATTGTTCTCGATTCTATTCAATAAGGAGTTGCAGCCATCTTGGACTAAACTTCATTCAACGAAGCCAACACATACCATCATGTGGTAATCCAATACAAGCACGTGATGAGCGCGATTATCCGAGATGCTATTACAGCGAAATCACTATCGAGCAAATTAAGCTGAAACTATCGAAGCTCGCGCAGAATCATATAGCACCTGTTTAACAAAAAAAAAAAAAAAAAAAAGTTACGACTCGAGTTCTATGTTTGTACACTCAATCGATTTCATGCTTGACTAGCCAGACAAATTTTTCAATAAACCTTGATTTATTTGTTTGGAAATTTTGATACTTCTTTTAAGCTCTATATATGACTACACCATAGAATAAGAATTATATAGGTTTCACCTTAACCTTTTACTAGCTCGATGTAACAAGTAAGGTTAGTATAATAAAACTGATATAAGCAGCTTAAAAAGTGCCACTAAATAAGATTTAATTTTCGCTAGACATCAAATGTATGAATTTTAATTTTTGAACGAGCATTCGTATTAATTTCAAATGTTTAAATATATTATCGCACGAAAACAATCGTTCTTTTATAATATGGCGAACTATTGCATGCAAAATATGTTGCACACGTGTTCTTATATCATTCAATTGCATAGATCGAAAATGATCAAAATCTAATGTTTTATATGACGTAAAATCACGAAACGAGCATTCTCTTGACAAAAACCATCGCTACATCGATAAGTATATCCGCAATATAATCGAGGATCTGCATTCGATCAATAATTCATATGTAAAAGAAAATGGTTCGTGATCAAACCCCGTATATTCTATATACATTTAAAAAATATATCTTAAAGTAACGCTATATATAAATTCCGACACGAAGTGACGAATTATATAATATACATAGAATGAATCGTAATCATGGGCTTCAAATAAGTATATATACATATGTATCTGCTTCTATGATATAAGTATAAACATTATTTTTAACTTTACAGTATTCGAATTATACGTATTTTTAAATAACACATTCGCGATTATACATTTTACGAAGTTTAATTTATTGTTGGCTATAGTATAAAAGCTAATTATCTGTATTCGTACATTTGATATTTTCATTTCATTTTTATTGGTAATAATTTGATTTAGATTGTATATTTTTAATAACTATTTGACGTGACCATTATAGTATTAAACAATAAGAATAAGATTATGATTGACTCGCGCGACAAGCGAGACATCTGTAATCTCAATGATGTAAAATAAAGAAGGGCGCGCTATGTTGCAGTTCGATAATACTACACACGCGATAATCGATAACTCTTTTCAACGACTAAACCCTATACGGAAAAGGGTTAAATAGATGATCAGTAAACAGTTGTGTTCGCGAGAAGGTATTCACGTGTTTGACCCACGATCGACAGAACACGCATCATGGGTCATGCAATACAGTCACGACTCCACGCGTCATCGCGTGTATTGACAAAATGTTTTCTATTGCATATCACATGCAAGGCGGTACACGGTGATACGGCCTTAACTTGCATTATATGCAGGGGCGTAGATCGACGTCTTTTATGATAACAGATGAAAGAAAAAGAAACAAAAAGGAAAAACAATAGAGAATTGCAACGATTTGATAAACATTTATCAAGTGGACTTAAACTTATGTTTACATAATGTATATAATCACAATGCGGCTATGTCTCATAATATTTGTAAATTGATTTTATCCTGAAATTGTAAGTTGTTTTTTTTGTACCACTAAAAGAAAATATAATCAAGATTGTAGTATATCAGAACATTTATATAACAAAAATATTTGGATATTGAATATTGAATTGTTGTCGAATTTACGCAAAAAATAATATATTTATAAAATTAAATGAGTATCGAAATTATAATAATACGTTGAAATATATACACATATATTTTTATGTTAATTATATTTAAAGAGATATTATAAAAATAATTTAGAATGAGAATTGCATATAAGATAAAAGACGCAAAATGATCGAATGTTTATAAGATAAATCGATTCATTTATACGTATTATATTCATTATTATATTCGTATGTTATAGATCATATCTTGCAAATGAAAGATGCATCATAATATCACGTATGATGCAAGAAGAATTATTATGAAAATGTATAAATAACATCTAATATAATACAATATATACAATATATTTATTAAATGAATATAACAAAAGAAAATTCTATACGTATATTATTCTTCAAGTTATCATATTACAAATGATCGCGAGATCATGGTTCCTGTATCAAAAAAGATGTCGATCTTTACTTCAATGTAAACAACAAATATACACATTTGGAATATCAAATGCAATATAAACATTCATTTGATAAAGAAACAAGAAGTGTTGCGTCGTTTTTACTTTTATCTTGACGCGGATATAACATATTTTACGTGACAATCGAAATATCTTCGAATGATAATACAATATAAATAATAAATAGAATTTCATAACACAAATTAATGATAAATAAATAATATATATATATATATATATATATTATATAAGATTACAAAAATTGATTGTATTGTATTATTTGATAATTTAGTATTTCAATTTTATTTTGATAATGATATAAATAGTTTGTAAAAAAGCAACGCAACTTCTTTTGGATCGTCGAGTAACGATATTTTTTTTTTGCTTTGTTTTCCATTGAATGCATGGGGAGATATGGCTTCAATAAGTCACGCAACTTCTCGACGGATAATGATCCGTATGTTACAAGCAATGAACTTTTCCATAAAAAAAAAAAAAGTGATTTTATAAATTTTTCAATATTCATGATCTTTAAGGTTTGATATTATTATAATATTTATTGTAATATAAATTAACTTAAATTATTTGATATACTACATATCGCGCATTGAAGGAAAGATAAAACGCAAATTCTATTCTATTTTGATACCAAAATAATCAACGTTGCAAATTGATGTAAAGTAGAAAAGATAATACAATCCAGATATCAGTCGAACATTTATTTTCACAAAAAGTAGCTATAAATTGTTTTTTCATTTCACGACCTAAAAGAACATTACCAACCAATGTTACGATTAAATATAAAATTGCAGAAATCAAAAATATTTGAAGATATTCTATTCACGCGGTAGTTAAGAAATCTCAAGCACAAGTCCATACGGGAGAAGCGGCATGCACGCGATTGCCTAGTGTATCGTATGTGTGCGTCTGTGTATATTCCCCCCTACAAGAGAGAGAGAGAACAATGACTCTAAAGACGTCGCACGTTTTCCTCGCAACAAGTTTTACATTACACTCCGTGGCGGCGGGACTGAGCGACAAGCAACGGAGTGTTTTTGCTTAGCATGCAGATAACTTCTCCATACAGTAAGGTGCACAGTCGTTTTATAAATAATTCGCGCGGATGTCTAAAAGAGCCAAGATTGTTGAATCACAGGCAAGATAGCATGCACACGCAACGGGAGTAATTGTATACAATATAACGGTTCCATGTATAAAAACTGCAGAAAGAAACGAACCACGATAAGTTGACGAACAAGTTGCCAAGAACATTTTCCCAGTTATGTTAAATAATAAAAATCAAATTCATTTTTTTAGAAATAAAACAAAATCCAAAAAAACTTTTCTTGTTTGATACTTTTGCTAAGTCTTATGAAAATTTAATCAATAAATGTTTATGTATATGAAATATTTAACTGAAGATGCTAAATCTTAACTGATAACAAAAAGAGAAAACATTCGAATTTGTAAATACTATGAATTGCGTAATATATACTAGTAGATAACGTTGAATATATGCGTATAAGAACGAATGAATCATACTTTCAAGTAAATTCCTGAATAACAATAATGATAATAAGTTAGTTTTTTGCTGCGAAGATTTTCATTGAAACAAAATAATTGTAATAGTGAGAAATCTAATGTAAATCTTGAATTCTTGCGTTTTATTGAAATATATTAACAAAAAAAAAAAAAAGTAATCAAATCGATAATCACAAAGTCAATAGCTTTTTTCTCATTAAAGTTCGTTGTTGGTCAGCGCTTTCTTCTATCCTTATTCCATCTAGCTTTTTTTTCTTGCGTGCATATATCTACGTATTTCGAATAAACATATAGAGACATACATATGTGTTGTCTATTCGCAATATATTTATGTATATGTACGGCTTCGATTATTGGTTCGTCAACTGCAAGTGAAATCAAACAAAAACATTCGCTTGATGATGCGCAAAGCACAGATTGAAAATATTATTTTTTTTTTGTTCTTGTTATAATTATAGATAGTAAATATAAAAAAAAATATATTAAAAATTAAAATAATTATGAAGTTTGAATTCGATTTATTAGCGTAAAAATGATGCATTTCAGGCATCGTAATAAAATGTAAGCTATTGTTTCCCATCTATTATAACGAACATTCGATTTGAAATATTTAATTAATTATTATGAATGAACTTTATATTTATTTTTCTTATTCCACGCAATGATTACTGGACAACCAAATCAATGGCGCATGACAAAAACTTCGAATAGTCTGGGATATATGTTCTAGATAAAGAATATAATCCAATCTATAGCGAAGCATCACATGGGATCGTTGCGTGGAATCAGCAGAAAAAAACAATAATGTGATTTAATCTATTCGTCTGATCGATTTGAAAAAAAAAGAAAAAAATATCAAGAAATATTTACTAGATAAGAAAACAAAAAATTAACTTTTTTTAAAAATATATTAATATGCTCTGTATATTTTATAACATACAGTTAAATTAATGCCTTTCTTTGGATTATTTTCATATTGTGTAATCATTTATTACGAAAAGTATGTCTAAAAAGAATTCAAGAAAAAGCAAAGTTGAGTTGCGTAGGTCACGCACGTACAACGAACCAGCGACAGAGTGATAAATGATAGCGAGGTTTTTGATCGCAAGCCCCACCACTATTGAGAGCCGAGTTTAATCAAGTGCGCGCGAAGAAAATAATACGTTAAGTTATAGTACGGTAATAAAGCACGTTTCTAACGGAAGTTTATTTGCAACGCATAACTATCGAATCATGAATGAATATCTTCATTGTTTGTCACGTTTCACTAATCATTATGAGTAATAATAAATTCGTAGAATTAATTAAATCATTTCTAATATTTTCCTATATTGCAATCATCTTTTATATCAAAACGATTAGTGTTAAATACAACTATTGTTTTTGAAAGAAAATAATAATTTTGATATACATATTAGAATATAAGTAATAAATCAACGTTGTATACAAGTACTACTCAAATATGGATAAAAATAATATTGAGTAAAAAAAAAAATAAAAAATTAAATTTGATATTATTTATAAATCTCTAAGTACTTATAAGTACTTACGTAAATGTATATGTATTTACCTATGCGCATCGAATATAATCCCCTTTACCTTATTTTAACCATGAGCAATACAGTTTAATAATTATAAAAGCCATTGCCCTGACTGATATAATTGCACTAGCAGAATCTCTATAGGAAAATAACAGAGAAAAAGAATTATTAGAAAGACAAGACCCCCTCAGAGTATTCTGGAACATGCGTTGGCCAGCCTGCGAGACGGTTCTATCGCGCGCAGCTCAGCTGACAGCCCAATCAGCTGTAAACGTACACAAAAGCGTCGTCCAACAGGTCCACGGACGCGTTCATGAAAACAGTAGCATTTAAAATAAATTTTGTGTTATTCAATCGGCATCGAAATTTATACATTTTCTCGTTGAAAAGTAAAATAGATATACGTGCAATAGATATATGTATATATATACATATATTTATGTGACCAATATATAGTTACGAAAGAACGAATGAAGAACTTTCGTTGCGCGAACCGACATAACTCTAGTAGCTTCGTTCGGTCACTGTTGCTTCGTTCTGGTTAGACAGAAATTGCACGAGGCTACACCACTGCAACTTAAATAAACACCGGGAGAGGAACAAGCAGCGTACAGTAGCTTCGAGTTTAGTTAATTCGGGTCATCGTCCTTCGTAACTCGTCGCGCATATTTAATTTTCTATGTAAAGCGTCCTGGACAGATGCATCATGGATGTTTTCAAAGCGAACTGCATTTTAATATACTCTTTATAAACACATCCATATACCAAATAGTTTTCAGTCTATTAAATTCGAAAGGCACTCGATCGATTCGAGAAACCCGTAGTCAAATTGCGATCGACATAAAAAAAGAAAATAGAAATATTTCTTTGAAGAGCTTCTATTGATGGCACAATTTTTATAGCAAGAGTCAATTTATATTATATGCATGTTGATAAATTTCACTAAATATTTAAGATACAAAAATCGATGAAAGTTTGATGGTTTGAAGAAGCAATCGTTACGTCAATTCTCCACTTAGCCTTTACCACAGGTTTTACGTTGAACATTATATAGGTTTTTCAGAACGATCGAAGCTGTACACATTCACACATAGCAAGAAGAAATGTCGCAAGAAGGTATGTGCGTACTAAAAGATAATACTTAGAACGTTTTTATGATGCGATGGTTGAATCAGCTGCGAATGTGTACAAAACAACAAGCATTATCTTAGTGACATTGCTGGTTAAGTATCAGCAAAATTATCATTTTAAATGTAGATATTAGAATGTCATTGACATTACATTAAGTTAAAAACAATATAAAGAATTTAAAAAATAAAAAATAAAAAATTAATTAAAAAAAAAATACACTCATGACTTGGAGACATATAATCACATATTTAAGGAGTGTAAGAAGATCAATTAACAAGTAGGAGTGTATGATGATCAATTAACAATGGAATAATAGATTCTTATCCTACGCATACATGCGGACGTGACGACAGAGCTCTTCGATATGGCAGATTGTGCACTGTTACTAAGTGGAAAAATCCTCATTATAATGTACCATTCAGGTAAAATTGAAATAAAAAGAATCTGTTATGAAATTCGAGACAAACAAGATAACGGAAAAAATTATGTAGAACGCCACAAAACGACGGCCCTGATCTTCTCATGGAAGGCAGCTGACAGGCCCCCGTCAGCTGAGAGCGTACACAAAGTCCAATGCCGTATGCGCACGTACTTTTAATCTTCAGTCTGTTTCCAAGGAAGAGTTCACTATCGTAAAATTTATATGTATCTTCAGTCTAAGACTAACTATTTTAATGATTTAAATAATTGCACGTCAAATATATAATTTTAAGAAAGAAAAAATAGTATTGCGTCGTTTCGACCGATCAAATAAAAACAGCATGGACATATACCTTTTTAAGTAGCATTTCAAATATATAATTATTTGTTTAAAAAGATTAATTTGAAGCAATGTAAAAGTAAAAAATATCACGAATAATGATTTTTCAATTCGACACAGATATATCAATAACAATTCTAGTAAACGCAACCATTGCACTTTCAATTGTCCAGGATACGTCACATTTCACGAAACATATTAAACCATAGAAAAATGGCAATGAAATCGAATAAAATGTATATAATGTTGTCAAAGCAAACAAAGAACGCGTGCATAAGAAGAGGGTGCATTGAAACAAGGGTTTACGCACCTCCATATGCATCCGTGGCCGCGGCAACGAGAGACGATGCGTGTCCTCGGCCTCTTCTCCGTCTCGAGCTTTTGATCACGGATCACGGCTTCTTCGACTTCGCGAAATGCCACAAACAACGACGACGACAACTCGTTTTGATCATCACTAACGCGAAACAGTCGCATCCAGCGAGCACCGTACTGCTGATCGGCTCGGCGTCGTTCGATTTATTCGGTTCGTCCGCAGGCGGGACGATATACGATGACCTATGCGCATGCGCTATTTGAATAAATCCATCTCCGGACATCACTACCAGAGGTCGCTCATAACAAGCGCTATCTTTTCTTTATTGTATTATCGTATGAAACGCGGGAGATTTCAGGATATTGAAATATGCAAGCAATGAAATTTTGTTACATTTGAAATATTTGATTTGTCAATAAAGTAATTCGAAATAAATTTGTATATTGCACAAATGAAACGAATGAAAATTTTAATTGTATACATGTACTACATGTTCGTATTTTCGTGGTTTCAAAAATAGGAGTACTAATTGTTTATATAGCCCATATACATGTCCTCATACGGTGGACAAAATATTATTTGGACGAGATAATCCGTCTCATGTGCATATGGAGGCAGGAATGCTGAAGAAGGAAAGGTACTTTAATCGCGAGCTCGAAAAAAGGCACATTAAAGCTCGTTTTACAATATTTCATCGTTTAACAACTTCTTTTTTTTTTTTTTTCATCTAAATGCAATTTTAATTTAGGTCGTATTTCGTGTAAAATCATGAAAAACGCATTGCATGTTTATATCTGTCTGGAAAAAATATATATATATGTTAAAACTATGTAGGAAAGCTACCTTTATTACTTCTTTCATTTCTTTGCGCAATTCTATTAACTATTACATATCTCTGACGAAACTATTACAAAAGTTTACTCTGCTGGATGATTTTGTAAGAATATGTGAATGGATTTCACATATATTTTGGTATTATAAAGTAAAAAAGTCAAAGTCAAGAACATAAGAAAGTACGGAAGTTTAAGAAATTGAACGTCAATCGTATAAAAAACAAAACGATTTTAACGATTCGAACTTTATTCGAATCTTCTGAATTCGTAAAGATAATAATTATCCATTTAATGGAATATAAATTTTCATAATGCTCTTACGCTCTTAATTCTCTAGAATTTGTTAAACAAATTGCGCGATTATAATAACGTAAAAAGTACGTTTAAAGACACCATTCATTTTTCTTGGGCAGACCTACAATTTTAAATGCTCCATAAATGCGCTATGTCTGCCACCCTCTCCCTCTTTCTTGATACATTCTACAAATATTTATTTTTTACTGATCATTCATACGATCAACATTTCTCTCAACTTCCACCATACAAGCACAGCATGAAGGATAACAACAAAGCAGTAGTACATAAAAAACTTATTTTTTTTATGTTTGTTTATTCAATATGTATTTTCTTATAAAGTGATGTCCTACTAATTAAAAGTAAATGAAAAAAAAAAAATCACCAAACAATAGTTAATATATTCATTAAAATTCATTATCTCATTAAGGCAACTAATTTTTTTAGTTTCATTTTACATATCTAGAGTAAATGATATATAAAGTATATGTAAAACACTAATATATGGTTATTTTTATTTTCTTGTTACAAGCCTTACATATTTAGAATATAATATGTATACTTTGTATATATACTCTTGTAATAAAATTGATTACTTCGTATTCGATTCTAGAGATAATAAATATATCTAACGTGTAATGTTAGTACAAGAGAAGTGCGTGCAGAGGGTGGCAGCAGGGTGCGCATTTGGGAGTGCTATTGTTCCAGGGACCGACCAATCCCCACTTTCTATATCGTCTCACATAGTGACATTTAACTGTATTGCTTTAGTGTCCACAGAGCACGCTTGTTGTTGTTGTTGTTGTTGTTGTTGCTGTTGCTGTTGTTGTACCTGCTGTTGTACTTGTTGTTGAACTTGCTGTTGCACTTGTTGTATCGCTTGAAGCTGTATCGTTTTTGTATCTACAGTGCACGTTGTTTGTTGTTGCTGTTGAGGTTGTTGTTGTTGCTGCTGTTGCACCTGTTGCACTTGTTGCTGTTGCACTTGTTGTTGTTGCACCTGTTGTTGCACTTGTTGCTGTTGCACCTGTTGTTGTGCTTGTTGTTGTTGCTGCTGCTGCTGCTGCTGCTGTTGTTGTTGCTGTTGTTGTGCTTGTTGAGCAGCAGCTTGAGCAGCTTGTCTTTGTTGTTGTCGAAGTATACTTGGAGGAGGATCCATATGTTGACGTTGATGTAGCAGTAAATGATTTTTCTGATAGAAAGCTTTGCCACATTTATCGCACACATGTGATCTTATATGACAGCTACCATCCGTGTGGCGTCGTTGATGTTGAGATAAACCATGCTTTTGCGCGAAACCACGACCGCAATCGGGACATACATGTGGTTTTGGTTTCGGACCTGTTCCTACAGGTGGTGATGTTTGTGTTGCACCATGCATATGGCTGACACCGGGGTTTGCAATGGGTCCATTCATCTGTAAATTTTTTGATTGTAACATATATGCTTTTCATATTATGCTAATATTAGTAATACCTGATGAGTTCCAGGGGTATTAGGTGTAAGGAAATGTCCAGGGGTTTGTTGGAAGGCAGCTGCTAATCCACAAAGATCCGTAACAAGTGTACGATCACCAGAATGTAACCTTAAGTGCAATGTAAGAGCTTCTCGATTCGAGAAGTCTAATCCACATTCCCTAGAATATTAAATTTAACATAAATAGATAATTTATGTTTCAAAAATTTTATTACAAAAATATACATATAGTTAAAATATAAAAAAAAAAAATACATAATTTGAAATTTCTTACCTGCACATAAGAGATTTTTCATCTGTATTCGTATTATTGTTATGTATCTTTGAATGGGTAACCAGGTCTGTCTTCCGGGCAAATGCTTCTCCACAAACAGTACAAGCAAATGGAGTTTCTCCTGTATGTAAACGCATATGTGCCAGAAGTGTTCTCTTTTGAAGAAATTCTTTTCCACAAACAGTACACGAATGGGGTACTCTGCCATGCAGACGGCCATGATTCACTAATTCAAATTTTCTCTGGAAGGTTGCTCCACAGTCATGACATACAAATGGATGTAAACTGCCATGGAAGCGCGAATGCATTGTAAGGTGATCCTTTTGAGAAAACGATTCTCCACATTCTTCGCAAACAAAAGGTCTTTCTCCTGAGTGGAATTTACTATGCGTCACTAAATGACGTTTTAGAGGAAATGCTCTTCCACATTCTTGACAAATAAATGGTCGTTCTCTTGTATGTACTCTTGTGTGCGTTACAAGATGATGTTTTAGTGTAAAAGACTTTTTACATTCTCTGCACTGGTAGGGTCGATCTGCACTATGAAGGAGCAGGTGTGTATGGAGACAATGTTTGTGTGCGAAACTTTTGCCACAATGAACACAAACATGAGGACGTTCTCCTGTATGTACTCTTGCATGTGTTGTAAGGTGATGTTTCAGAAGAAATGATTTTCCACATTCTGAACAAGAATATGGTCTTTCTTTTGGTACTCGAACCTGACTTCCCATATCTTGTTGTTTGACCTTTGTTTCAATTTGAGTAGTATTAACATGTGTTAAAACATGTCCAAAATGAGCTGTGCTATCTGTCTGGCTTGTTGCTACGTTGTTTACATTGGCTTGATTTGAAGCAGCTGCTGCTCTTTTCATTAAAATTTCATTGCACTCTTCTGCCGTAAGTTGTAATGGTCCAAGTGGTGTCATGAAATGCTTACTCATGGCGTGTTTATCAGTAGTAAAAACTAAAGTGTTCGAAAAAAGAGAAGGTGGGGGTGTAGGGTGTGATGCATCACAATTGCAACCTCCCTTGTCACATGTTAATGAAAACACATCATGATGTTTCTTAGTACGAACATGTGTACCATGTGTTTGATTATGAGCTCCAGCTGTATGATGAGTTGTTGGGGTTTGTTGACAAGTTTCATTCATAGTGAACATGGGTCTACGATGCGTACTATTGGCAACTTTAGTAGGTTTAATATCAACTTGTATCTTCTGACTGGATCCTTGGTCCTGATTATTATTCACAGCATAATTAATATTTGTAGTAAGTTCACCCTGTGCATTCTCTCGGGTTTCAGCTCCAGGTCCTCCAAAGGACCAGGCATACCCAAATCCTGTGCCCACGTTGCCAGGGGTGGTGCACATGTTTGACAGAGGGGTAACGGAGGGGGTGGGCTGGCTGGACGCACTGCTCGTAGGCCCCTCCGTCTCTGTCAATGTGTTATCTGCACCATTTCTTTCTATTACAACAAATTGGTCGGCGGGAAATATTTTGAAAGGTTCTAAGTAAACGTACCCGTCACACTCCAGTATCTTGGTTGTGAATTTCAGAATTGGAAATCATATCTGCCTGAAGCAGCTCTAGGGTACAATAATATTTAAGCTCTCAATATTAATGGAGAGCTGTAAATAATTAGGATTCATAAAGTGAAAATTGCAAGGTGGTTAACACCATGCGTTTCTTATCATTTGTGACAAAAAATATAACAAATGTTGAATGTATTCCCAAGTGTTATTTTATTAGACTTAGGAACACACAGTATTTAGGAAGCGAGGTGAGAGAATTAGAGCAGGCGGCAGAGGGGGCCTGTGCGCTGTAAACCAGGTTCCGTAAATCTAGAGCTGTTCTCATACAGTTGTCACCGCGCCACCACGCGTCAATGAAAAAATAGAGTGGTCGGTTGACTTTTCAATGTATTAGAGTCCGTAAGTGATTCTTCGTTTCGGTCTTCGGGCCCGCGGCGTCCACGGGTCTTGAAAGACAACCTCCACCTTCTTCTCACGGCACTCCTACACGCTCACTTACACTTCACCTTCTTTTTTCGTATTTCGTAGCACTGAACCTGTACTTTGATATACATACACGAGCAGCCGATGGTCATTAATTTTACAGAATTGCATATTTTATTGTCCATACAAAATAGCCTCATATATCGGCCATTTTATTTGTAAACTACCAAAAAACAATGCTGCCAATGCACGCGCGATTTTGGAGGGAGCAAAGCTGGCAATAGCGTCATCGAATACTTCCGTACTGGCAACACTGTACCGCCGACGCGATTTCTTCCACCATATTTAAACATTCACAGGTTACAAATTATTATCATTTTAATTTTAAAGAGACTTTTTATTAAGTTTTTGCTAAAGCATAATATAATTAAATTTATTCAAACTCTAAATAATAATGCTTAATTATAGGAATTTTATGTGTATTTAATATTATATAAGTATATATAAAAATAAAAGTTTTATATTAATATGTAATAATTATAGGTTACAGATTTTATGAACTAATTTATTATCTAAGATGTAAAAGATGAAAAAGATGAAAAATAAATAAATATAAGATAATTATATAGAGTGTCAACGATGGTAATTATATTTTCTATGAATGATAATTGTCACATGGTAATACTCATTAAATATTTTTTATCTTTTTTTTCAAATAATACATTTCATATTTATTCTATATTATATATAATATGTTATTTATTTTTATTTTTCATTCACAGTTTTCCAAATGTTTGTAATACATTGTATCATAACTTTTAAACATTTATCAAGTTGTCCATGATCAAGTGGAAGGGGAATTTTGCGCGGTAGTTTTTTACTACTCTCACAAATAGCTTCATAATCGATGGGGGGTCAATATCACGGACGCACTTACAGACGTCCCCGTAGATACGATTGCTTTCGTCATTTATAGCTGATATCTGGCGAGTTATGAGATGTGGGGGCATCTAGGTGGCACAGGGACAGAAACATCGCTGCCACCGCTCGGTTGGTCATCGTCGACGCAATAACGCGGACTCAGCAACTGATAAGCAATCCTGCACGTTAATGGCCTGCGCTCACGACTTGGCAAAAAGCCAGTGCGTGTTGGTGGAATGAAGAATCTTACAGTTACATCCATTCATTTTCTTATTTTATCTCTTTCTCTCTTTACAGACATAACATATTGAATTAAAATTTATCTTTACACTTTTACTCATCTTCACCTTTATATTATTAAATGTCAAGTAATTGTAGCTAAATCTTCAATATTTAATGCTTTCATATTCATTTCTTTTCAGTTAATACTTATTAGTAATATAATAGTTAATAGATATAGTATCTTAAATAATCTTCAACATATGTGGAATATTTCATGAAATCTTTTCTTTATCATTATAATATTATCAGACAAATTTTTTAAATCGTATATGATTTTTTTTTAAATAATGATATTTTATCATAACAAATTATAATAAATAATAAATAATAAATAATTTCTATGCAAATTTTAAATGGTTATGAAAAAGAAAATATGTTTCGTGAGCTTTTTATTTAAAATACTTTCACAAAATTCTTATTGGTAGGTAAGTATGTGGACATAAGTCAAATATTTCTCTGCGTCTCTGTGTTTTAAAAGCTATGCCTGTTGCAGTAGTTTTGTCAACGAGGAAATAGTGAGAATTTTTACGGACGATTTGCACGGATTATACGAGGCTGACAAGATGATTAAAAAGACCTGCGCATTCGCTTTAGCATGGCGTGACCTCTTTTTGGCACAGTAAATCCCGCAGCTTCTTACTCGACCCTTTCAGAAAAAAGTTTACCCACCCCTTGGTTAACTGGTAAACGCCTCGAGCTGTCTGCACGCGCACCTGCTATGTACTTATATCGTCCGCTCGTTTCTTACCACGCGATCATGACTTATACCTCTTACTGATAGATAATTTTGCGTAGCAGAATTTTGTTTGGCGTGAAATTTATTAAAATAATAAATTCGATAGAATAATATTAAGCTCATAGGAAAAATTCTTTATCTTCTAAATTTCTTTTACAAGTATCAAGAAAAAATTAAAATGGAATATTATTCTATATATATATATATATATATACATATATATATTTATTGTGTATTAAAATCACCTTCTCTTTTTGTTCGTCGTTTGTGCCTGCTGATTAGCATGCAGCCACACTCATGGCTAGATCTTGGAATACAACAGACACGTGAGACGACTGCAGTTACGTTCACGATCCAATCGTAAGATAGATTTCTTCGTCGAACGAGCGCAAGATGGCTTAAGATTTACGATCGGTATAACACAATTATTCGATATTATTTATTGATAAAATTTTTTATAAATTTTGCTTTTAAATATAAAAAAATCAATACATTTTTATTATGAAATAATCATATTGACTGGATTACTTACATTTATTTCGATATTAGCGAGATAGAATGAAGAAATTTTTTTGGAACATGATTAAAGAATATTATTTAATATATATTCTTCAAATTTTTTTCACAATACAATTGATATTTATAATAATAAATAATAATAAACAAAAATTTTCCAGATTAGTAATAAATACTTTCTATAAATTTTCATAAATAAGAAACAATTCAATGAATAATTTCCATAGCTTTCGTCGTAGACATTTTAGAACTGTAATTTGTAAAACGAATATATTGTTTACCTAACCATTTAAATATGTTTGAAATATATATACGATATATACGATCGAAGGTTACAGATCGTCAACGGTGGGTAGCTTTCACCATATCCTCTTTCTCTCTCTCTTTCTTTTTTTTTACGAGGAAACGTAGAAGCGTAGAAGCAGGGTGGAGACCCGAATCCTGAGGCAGTGGACCGTGAATGCGATACCAGGTTTGCCATGCTTCGGTGTGGGAGTGGTGCCGTCAAACAACCGTTCCGTCGACCAACCCTTCGTAGTGCAATTCTGTCCTCTGCAGGTTATAATTTCCATACTTATATTAATTATACTTCGATATATTCTATTTTTGCAAAAATAATTCGAATTTTCTTCTGGATTAATAATATTTTCAATGCAGAAGTGGAAATCAATCAGATAATGAAAACAGTAAATGAAAAATATAATATCATATTTTATTTAATTTTTATTTTATTTAATCATCATGATAAATTTTATTTTATCCCATTTTTTCCATTTTATTAAAATGAATATAAGAACAGACCGTTCATCGAATAGATTAAAGTAAATTTAAAGTAAAAATAATCTATACCATATCGTTTAAAATCAATTAGTCACTTTTCCAACTGTGAACGATGTCAAAGTTGCAGCAAATGTTGCAATATAAGATATGCAATTTAAGATAGTACTTTGTATTTTTCATCTTCAAAATAAAAAAGCAAATATGCAACAAAAAGGTAAGAATAAAGCAGTAAAATATATGAATTACATTATAGAATTTAGATTTTAACGTATTAATTAACTTCTTTGTAAAAGATTATAAAATTTTTATTTTTTTTTTTTTTAGAATATGATATATAAACTATATACAAGTCTATTTTAATCACAGCTGTCATAATAGAGTTACTAATCCTAATATTTATTCGTAGTTCTATGTGATTATGATTCATCATCTGTAAGCAAAATATACTGATACTGTATATATAATCACTTTAAAGACATATGTCACTTCTAATATTGTTTAGAAAAGTTATGACGTTACTAATTACAAAAGAAACATTAAAGAGATAATTCTGGTATCATCACTTTAAAAAATAAAAATATCTAATATAGCATTTATTTATGCACGTGAGATTAAAATGTGTTAAGTTGTTAAATTTCATTCGAAGAGACAAAGCTGCCTGTTGAACCGGTAGAGCAAGGTAATTACAGTTTCGTTGCAGACTATCGGCGGCGTCTTTTTCTTCTCGGCCTAATTAAAAGATGATTAGCTAATGAGGGTCATAGATATTCTCCGTCACTAACGAGCTTCTCTGTTGTTGAGAACATCTATATAGCTATAATTTCAAGATTTCTATCTGACTATAAAGTGCTATTTGGGATCATAGACCCTGAAAATGAATACAAGAATATATATATCCATGCATTCAGGCTTAAACCACAGAACAAGTTATTCTGCATTCTCTGTCTAATTTGTCACATTTTTAAAATCAACTAAAAGCAATTTTTCAATTTCTATTCATTTCTATTCATTTCATTTTATTTTTTAATTTACAAGAGTTTGAAAATATATATATATATATTTGAAATGAATGCATGGTAAAATAAGATTTGAAATATTAAAAAAATAATGCTTGACGAAAAAGAAAAATGTATGCTCATCTATATATTGCGATCAATCGTTTCCACGCGATAGATCACTAGTCACGTGCCGCTGCGCGCCGGTTCATCGATCACGATTAGTCGTATGACCTGCCAGAAGTTCATCGATTTTCAAGTCACTCTGAAGTCAACTCGTGTGACAACAATTCATGCGTTCATTGGTCGAAAATGTTATATTCTATCCAATATTGATTTACATGAGTCAATAGAAATCTAACACAATTTAAATTTAATATACGTTGGTAAAAACATAACCTCTTTTCACATGTTACTATATTATTCTAGATAAGACAAGGAGCGATTGGACAGAATTATTATTATCGTATTGGAATAAATGGAAGGAACGAGAAACATTTATTGGTCTCTACAAATTGATATAATCTTTTGATCTGCAATCCGTGTTTTCGATCATAGATGCATCGCATATTTGAATTCCCAAAAGATCGATGCAACGATTTTCTCTGTGATACTCAACTGAATATATGTACTTACAGTGTCGACTCGCGAACAGAACTCTTTGTTCTCTTTCGTATAAAATTCTGAGCGATCCCCAGGGTACTTTGTCGATCAGTTCACTGCTTACTTTCGAATGTATTCACTAGGGAGTTTCGCGTTATGTTTTCCATTCTCGACAGCGGAAGCGTCGGTGTGCTTTGATCTGACGAGCGACAGTACTAGCTTTTAAGCTTGTAAAAGTAACAAACAGATGGTTAAGATAGCAATAATTTAATCTTCAATATTGTAAGCCTTTTGCATGCGTGTCTGTTCTTATTTTTGGTTATAGGTTATATCTTTATAAATTTAGAACATATAAGATATAAAAAAGTTTGAACGAAGATTAATTGAATAATTGTATTTCATTTATAAAAAATTTCTATTATTATCTTTATATGATTTGAAATACGTATAATTTATTGATAAGTCAGATAGTTAACAGATTGTGTATTCGTTAGGAAAGTACAAATTCTCAAAGCGGAGAAACGGTTTCCTTCAAATCGATTGAGAATTAATCCGACTGCTATCACGTTTCGCAAACGTCACTCCATTGTCTCATTGTCCATTGGAGTGAGAGATAGCGATGGAGCAGTAGAGAACGAGAGATGACTTTCCTTCGTTCCTATCTTGCCTCCTTTTGAGATCCCGTCTCGATCCTATTGGAGGCCAGGGGGATTCTCTGTTCTTCTATGGGCAACTAATGCCACTGGACGAGAATTGAAACTATGACCTGTATCCACGACTCATTTCACCGATTGCTTTTATCACTTTTTCTATATTTATTAAAGTTTTCAATTATCATTAAAGTTTCAATCGATGGAATGCATGGAATGTGTAGTAAAATAAGAAAAGAGAAAAAAAAGGTGATAAAAAAATATCTTTTAGTCTTCTAGTCTGAGTCTCTGTATCTTTTTATATTATATAAATGATTATCTCGTATTTCTTTATATTAAAATATTCTACATGTATAATATTCTATATATTCTATAATATTATATATTCTATATAACATAAAATTAAATATAAACGATACTTTTTAATCTTGCCTTTACAGATCTCGATTATGAAATGGCTTCTTGATTGAATTCTCGTTTGCCTGCCTCCCGTTCTTCGGTTTGATCGGCTGTTATCAGTAAAACATTAAACGGACAAAGAACAGAACGTGACTACGGACTATAGATCAGATCGTTCTCGATGATCAGGGTACATGGAGATTCCTCGGATATATCTGCGTCGCTGAAAAAGGGCGTCATGCATGGCTCGCACTAGGGTGTCATCTGCACCCTCTACAACATGACCAGTTCTGTAGACGATCTTCACGGTCAATATAACGGATGTCGTAAAATCAATTAGTGGCGAATTGTGCCGCAGCCCGGATCGCGTGCACTGTATATGCAGCTCATAAAATTCCTTTTTTCTTTGTGATCTTTTTGTGTTCCTCGTATCGGTTCCACTCTATAATCATTTCTTATCAAAGTACAGTTTTAAAACTACAATATTACAATATTATACATTGGTACATTGTTAAATTTCTCATTTGCAATAGCAATATGATATTGGTATATTATAGATATTTCGCTTTTATACCATTCCGACAATAGCTTAGTTAATGTTGACTTTTGAATGGTCCAATCTTTCAAGAGGCAAGAAAGAGCCTTTCCTTTTAGCGCGTTTCAGCATACAGTAAATATTATCAGGTAGATACTGTTACGGATGTTTCTCGGTGAATTGATGAGATTGTCAGTTCATTTCTTTTGCCTTTCTTTCATTTTCCTTCTTTTTTCTTCCAGGAAGCCGTCCCCGCATAGTAGAGACTCCAACGACATCCTGACAAATCTTTGGGGTCGACGTCGTAACCGATTGAAAGAATTTTCCGTGACGACTCGTTCATTGTGCGTGTTTACTAGCTAAGCGATTTTCTCGTTGTAGAAAGGTCGAAATATCTCTCAGAAATACAATAGAAAACTTGTAACAAAAATCATAGAAGCAAACATTTTAAAGGGAAATTTATGTTATTCACAGTGTGTAAGTGATTTAAAATGTTTAAATATAAGCAAATGCGTTATGAAATATAAAGAAATATAATGCCAGTTAATTTTTTTTCTCCTTCGTAGTAGCAACGATTCAGATCTCAGTAAATTGTACAAGTTTTTATCATCCGAGAGAGACGTATATCTATGAAAAAGAGAAATAGTCCACATAAAACTTTAACGTCCTTTGTGCGAACGTCACCCGTTACAACGCAACGTTGCTTTGGCTAAGAGCCGGTAAAAGTCGAAATGAAGGAAGTTCTCCTCTGAATTCTATTTCCTTCGTCAAGCGGTTTGCAGCCTTGCCTATCTGTTTTCTCTTCACTTCTCACCCTTCCATCTTTTCTCTTCCTCGCAGCTACCTTACTACCTAGATAATTTAACCATTTCCAGCAATAAATCAAGTAATTTTCACTTACTAATTACGAGCACAGTGATTTTATGTAACCTGTGCAGATTATTTCTCCTAAATTGTTTCATTAATTCTTGCTAACATACAACGATATGTTAACAAGTTCTTAATAATCTCTTAGTAATCATAATTTAAAATACTTTCTGCTTGTTCATATTTTAATTTTTACACTGCGTATAGGTTATCTTGATTGACCACTTCACCGGTCTGTGACGATTAACCCAAAACATGGGAGTTTAATAGGAAGAAACCGAAGGGAAGACGCACGCATGAAATTCATCCTTCTTCAACAAAGTTCGAGGAGTGAAAGAAAAGGTGGCTCTCCTTGTGGCTACAACTCACAACCTACAATTCGGTGGCTACGAAACGGCTACACCCTTTCATGAACGCGCGGTTCAACCACTCGTGACCCGACCAACTTCGCCCCAAGTGGTAAGTGTGGCGGGAATTATGCAATTATTGCATTGCGCCCGACAATTGTCGCGGAAAACGGTGAGTGCCTGAATGGCCTGAGTGTCTAAGGGGCAAAGGGGCGCGAAAGAGGGATTTCCTTGCCGATTTACTACCGAGATCTCCCCATACATTTCATTCCTTGTTTTAATTCATTCCACGTTGGATGCGATAACGATGAAAAGTCAGAGCGAAGTAAAGCAATCCTAGTCGGATTTTGAAGATGAAAATGTACCATAAAATCAGATCAGATATTCTTGGATATTAGGATAAATTGTATGAAATATATATATTCGAATACATTTTTAAAACAGAATCGTGAAATTATTCGCGAGAATTGAATTGTATTGTAAATTCCTTTCGATTTCGTGTGCGTTGGTTTCTCAAGATTCCCAAGGGAAAGTCTGCTTCAGTTGGGAGCATTAGTCAATCAAATTGATGTATCGTGCGATTGCCTGGAATTTAAAATGCCTGGAATTTAAATCTGAAAACATTATAATTTAAACATTAAATACAACATCAAATTTTTTTCGCGGAAACAAAAAATTTTATATCAAAGTTATTTTCAATTGTTGCGATTGTTGAATTTTATTAAGAATTCGAAGTTTAACCAATGGAAAAAAAAAAAAATGAAAAGAATCAAATCTGCCTCTGTTAATAAAGATACCAATCTATATGATGTACAGGCCACAGCCAGAGATACATATATACGGGTACAATATAAATTATAAGCTTAATGCCGTATATATTTAGATCTACATTTAGACTATTCATTCGCGTTAATATAATGTTCTTTCAACGTATATTATATATTTGCATGCACAGCATTTTATTTCATATATGAATACGATGATTAAGTCATGATCTTATATTAGAAATTGAACAATGCTTTCAGTATTAACTTTCATAAACATTTAGATTCGCAAAATTCTCAAAGATTTGAATAACTTATTGTTTTGAAATAATTTAAAATTTGCGATGCACGATGATTCATTTATTTAATTATTTATTATCTTTTCTTTTTAGGGAAAAATGTTTCAATCTATGAAGATGAATCAATTCCCAGGTTTTTGGAGATTTATGTACAGGAAGTTGAAGAATTTTCTGAATAAAATATGGAAAGGAAAACGCATGAAACTAACAAACGAACAATAAATTTTGATTATTCTGTTTTCGTTAAACATAATATAATAATATTAATAATGTTAATTTATTGTATACATTTATATATTTTATATTCCTTTGTTATCTTTTTTTCAGAAATGATAAAAAAATTTCAAAAAAAAAAAAAGAAAAAGGAAAAGAATATTAGATTTTATTTTTTCTTTTGTCGAAGTCAACAAATTCTATTGCGTGCTGTCTGATATCAGCATAAATTAAACGAATATTGATTGAACAAAATATTCGATATATTAAATCTATACATACAAGGTTTTTTTTGGATTTACCTGTTCAGACCTGTTACGAACCAATTTTTAGTCAATAATTTATCGTCGTGCATAATAACGAGCCTGTTTGATTTGTATATGAATGTCTGGGTAAACAATTATTGAATTCATGTGTGGGAAGCCTAAAACTTAATTATCTAGAAGAACAGAAGATACACTTGATCGACTGGTTTTTTTCATTTATTCATTTTTTCTGGCTGATGAAGAATTTTATATAACGAAACTGTTTAGATTAAAAATCATGGTTCCTATAAATTTTACAGAAAGATCAGAGACCCCTCTCTTCCAGAATATAATTGATCGATCAACCATCCTTCGTTTCTATTAAATCGTCTTCTTAGGAATTTTTATATAGAATAATAAAAACTGTCGAACCACCTTTTGCTCATAAAAAACTGCTTTAAATAAAAATTAAAAAAAAAAAAATAATAATCCGCAGACTGTTTCGATCTTTTTTTGTAAATTAACCAAAGATATTATTCTTTGTAACTCGAGCAACAAAACTTTAAAAAAACACATTCTACGAAGATTATTTAATGATACAAATTAAATGCAAGATGAAGAAATTGTTATAATCGACAAAGTGGAGGAATTTGTCGAGGAAAAAGCTTTTTAGAAAAGGATTGCCTATATTCGAAAGAACAATATTATATGTCTATCATGGAAACTATATAGTATGAATATATATCATGCTTTTTTCATCTCTCATTTTTCTTCCATTGAAAAGAATTTATAAATTGTAAAAACTATTAAATTATGTGCTTCCACGAAGGGAACAATCACTGTATGAAAGTCGAGTCAATGCTATAACAACGAGACGATCCGCAAATAAAGAGGATCTGCAGGAAATCTGCAAACACGAACGAGCGAAGCAAACGGGCCGGTCCATTAATATTCCCTCGTAGGATCCGAATAAGGAACGCGCAGTGGACCGAGAAAGAGAGAGAGACTCCCCGGCCGAAGCTATAAAAATTAATTAGCTCTTAGAAGAAGAGACTGGCTTCTATACCCACGACTGGTTCACCAAAATTGTGAGACCATCCTCCTCCATAGGAAACGATCTTACTTCGTTATTCGAAGGATCCAAGCTGGCACGGTTCCTGTCATAGATCCTCGATGAATGATCGATACGATGTACCCTTGAACGTTCGGTTCGATCCTTTTACCTACGTGGTCGTTGTTGCAAGGTATAATTAGTCATTGATTCCTCGGCTCGTGGAATGATGGGCAATGATCACACGACTCGATCTTGGAACATTTTGTCAGGATTGTTTTTTTTACTCGTGTCCAATAGATGATTCATTGTGGTTTCGAATTTCTGAAAGAAGTAATCTGACATCTTCTTTTTATCGTTATTACGTTGAGTGACGAAACAAATGTTTTCTTTATCTAAATAAGATGTTCTTTTTTTTTTTTAATTTTAATATAATGATCTAAATCTTTTCCTTTCTCGAGACTGTTTTTTCCCCCACTGTCTTGTTAGTATGCAAAGTATGGAGCACACAGTAATTTTCTTTTTTAAAATTTTTTTCTTACATTCTCGGAAGATATAATGGCTTTGTACACGAAATCTTCTGTATAAAGTCTGTATATTTACCAATTCTTAAAATGGTAATGTTTACTAGCAGTAATGGTTCGTGTGTTTTTAATTGCAGGAGAAAAGGAGGCAACTGAAGGTGGAAATGAAAGAGAAGCGTTTTGGCGCAGTATTATACGGCACAGAGGGAATTCGATTATGGCCAGTATCCACAAATTGCCTTCTAGTTAGCGGGAGTATCTTGTGGTCGAACTATCGCGAGATAATTACACTTCAACCGCTATAATGGCAAGTTAGTTATAGAGCGGTGGATCTTGGCTCGGGAATTGCGAGCTGGCTGATCGAGCATATCCATTGAAAAGGAACCGTTTTCTTCTTGCGAAGAGCAAACTTTGGTCGAATAGAAAATCAGTCGTGTCAATCATCAATGTGAAATTGATTTCTACCTTTCATTTATTTTTCTTCGAATTCTTTCCCAAATTGTTTTAAAAATTCAAATGATTTTCTTCCTTAATTCAACTCTTGCGAGTAAGACGGAGATCAAAGATTAATGAAATGTTAACACGTTTTCAATTAGTTCGAAGGAAGGGAAGAGAAGTTGAATAGAAACTTTCTGTATTTAACTGAATTACAATTACGAAATTAAATGTTGATCAAAACGTAGGAAGGAAGGAAAGGAGAAGAAAAAAAAGGCAGCCAGGTGTAATGCGACAAGAGGTAATAGATATTTTTCCAAGATTTAAAAGTGTCTGCAAGAGTCAACCTACGGAACCTTCCCACACTGCGCGCCGCCGTTCGAGCTTGAGAGCTCTTCGCCTTCGGAACAATAAAACCATTTCTGTGGGGGAGTGAAACAACTCTGGAAACCGTTCTTCAAATTGCTGATGGAGGCACAGGTAGATCTATTCGGTATACTTCAAAATGGAATTCTTTCGTCACAGAATAAATGACTCTTTTTAAATATCAAATCTTCTATCAAATATCTAATATTCTTAAAAAATTTATCCATTTCATTAATAGAAATACGTGTATCATTTTTATGTATTTAAGTTTTTCCACTTGCAGGAAAAATCGTCATTTAAAATTGCTCAGCAAGAAAAACATGAATGTATTCCGAATCGAAAAGAAAAGATGCTGAGATAGAAAGTTATTGTGGACGGAAAAAGGAGGAAGCGAAGGCATGTGTGATAGGATGATTTTCGTTCAAGCATTCTTTATGGCACTCAAAGGCGTGCATACGAAGACGGCAGTCCACGAACCCTCGAGAATCGAAGAACTCTACCAACGAGCTCCAAGAACTACCTACTCACTTACGGACTCTCACCTCGGTTAGCCTACTTACCTTTCCCTCTACCCGTCTCTCTCACCATTTCCCTCCCTCCTTGACAGTCCTGCGGCACCAAGTCATAACCACAAGGAGTACAATGGGTGGAAACCACTGGCGGCTTTTCACTGCCACTTCTTCAGCCCGCCAATTAATTTCCGTGGCGCTGATCTCGTTCCTCAAGAAGGCCACTCAAGAGCTGCCGATGGATGAGCATAAATCTTCACATCCTTCTTCTTCTTCTTCTTCTTCTTCTTCCTCCTCCTCTCTTTTAGCCTCGTGCTATTAATGCGTTTCACTTGTGAGGTCCACCTGAGCTGTGTTCATCCTCGACTGTGTTTACGGTCCGATCATTCATCTTTTTATTGACCCGATCCTTTTCCGAAATGTTTTACGCGCCATCTAATTGTTATCTAACGTTTTGTTATTAATTACGCTTACGAATCAAACTTACGATCCTTTTTTTTCCTTGAAAGGAAAGATATAAGACAGAAAAATTTAGAAAAAGATCTCGATCTCCTGTCTTATATTTAGAAATTTTTCTTCTTTTATCTATTAACAATAATAATAATAATAATATTTAAAAAAGCTTAATGACAAGTTTGAATAATAATGATGATGATGATGATGATGATGATATTGCAGTGGCTGCGTTATAAATAAATAAGTGCGCTAATGGATTTTATCGGAGGTATCCGTGGGAACTTGGACAGATCTTCTTGAGGAACATCTGCGGATAAAATATTCGTGGTGCGGCAATGGAAATAAGGAATCACCGCATGGGTGATCTATTTTAGAAGAAGCGGACTGGGTGCTCTCCATGGGTGTCTAGCCAGCGGAAAAATTGAAAGGCCGCGCTAATTCGCGCGACAATGCTTGCCGACAGCACGCCGGAACGGAAGTTTATCGCGAACCTCGCGAAAAACGACCTTTGGCCGTGCGCCAATCGTGGCACGATCTTTCCGGGGCTCATGGCCAATGACGAGGACCACTCTTGTCGCGCCGAGTTGCATAATTTATTATCGACCAACGTTTCGACGACAAATCGTCGGCGTTTCCTATCCCATTGCGAAAAATTTCGTGGTCAATGCCTTGGTTGGTCAATCCTCCTTGTTTTCATCGTTAAATTCGTTCGAGGTGTTGATAAACAACAGATCAAGGTCAATTTATATATTAATTTCTTAACCATCATTAACCATATTTTTCATTAATTTTTCTTTTTACACACAAACACTTTTTACACGGAAGACAAGATTTGTTTAAAAAAAGATGAGCCAGTTTTAATAAAATTTATCCTCTGGCTAAACTACAATTAAAGTCAATTGCACAATGTTGCAACGCACAATGCACAACGTACATCTACACACGGATTGTTGATGATCCTTGAACAGTTTATAAATAGCACTATAGCCATATCAATATTACCGTGTATCGTGTATCACATCAATATTAATATCAACGAATTCATTCATGTTTTCATTACGAATTCGTAGAAGACAAGAAGAAGACAATATTGAATATCTTGGAAACGAAACAGATCTCCCCTCTAACCTCGACTTGCCGATCTGACGTGACGTAAAGGTGATGAATGCACCGGCATTTAGCAAAGTCGCTCGCCGGCTTGCGAGAGTCGCCTAGACGATAGAAGGATCAGGGTGTAAAAAAGCAGCGACTACTACGGTTGGCGGAAGGACAAAGGAAAAGAAAGAGAAAGAGAAAGAGAAACGGAGGGGGAGGGGGCGGGGGAGAGAGACGCGGGATCCAAAGACGGGGCTGGAAGGGGGCGGAGGGGAGAGAGAGGGAGGGGGAGAGAAAAGGGAAGAAAGAGGTGTGCGCGCGGAATTCAGAAGCGGAAAGGGGGATGGGGAAAAAAAGGAAAGGGGGATAGAAGAAGGAGGAAAAGAGAGAGAGAGGGAGGATAGGGTGAAAGAGTAAGAGAAACAGAGCAGGGATTAGATCTCAGGGTGAGTGGGTAGGATTGGATTTGGCAGAGGCGGCTCCGTTGGTGGTAGAAGGTTGGCGGAGAAGGAGGAAAGGGGAAGTGGAGACTTTGGTTGGTGTCCGAGTGGTGGTGGGGTTGTGGATGGGGGAACGCACCGAGCCAAGGGAGAGTGTCGGAGAAGGAGAGACGTAAGTGACAGAATAGGTGGTGGTGTAGGTGAACTGGACAACCACCAGAACTCTCGCCAGTATTTAAGGGAGAGTCGCGAGCGTAGCGCGCCAGTTACTACGGCCGATTGCCTCCACGAGGTGTCCCCGAGATAACGCGAGTCAACGTGCACCGCGCTCGATTCTCGAAAGAAAAAGGGCGCGAAAACTCTTTGCCCACGTGGCTCGATTTTTCCCAAACGCTCGGCCTTTTTCCTTTTCTTTTTTTTTTTTCTATTGTCTCTGCATTATCCGGCCCGCCTATCCTAACATTTTCGTTTTTTAAACTTTATTCGGTGGCGATAATGTAGCCAAGTTTTACTCTCTTACTTTTTTTCTCTTCGAAAGATTTCCGAATAATAATACAATTGTAATTGTCGAGAGGAGAAGTGTGATGATAGAAGAAGAAGGTGATTGAACCCGTGACAGCCATGAAGGAAACGCGTGCATACTTTGAGAAAATTTGTCGCAGTTCACGGAAGTGCACGATTTATGGAAGAATTTAAATCGTCTCATCGAGCAGTCTTTGCTACTTTCGCTCGAGGACCGTGCAGATGAGCGTGTTATCAAGGTAATCGTTACAGATATTCCTTCGTTATTCTGAAAGAATAATTCAGGTGTAAAGAAAATAAAAGGACTCGTTTCGTTTTAACAGATTATAAATTATCCGTCTGGAAAGGAAAAATTATCGAACGTGTTAATATATTAAAATATTTTCACGTTATATATTCACGGGTTATTTTTATCCCTTTCTTATGCTCGAGAAAAAGTATCGCTTTTTTTTCTTTTTCTTTTTTTTTTTTTTTCTTATTTTGCAGAGGTTTGCAAATTTCTAAGGAAAAAAAAAAAAAAAAAAAAAAGGAAAAATAAAACCGTCTCGAAATACATATGGCAAACGGCTATAATGTAGCGTTAATTACGTAAGAGCCGAGATATAAAGGCGCGGCTTCTTTTTATCCGATGAAAAGAAGATGATTAAGCCTCCGATGGCAAAGTGCCAAACAGTTCTCCGCGAACGATGAAAAGAAAACGATAGGATCACGGGTGGTGGTGGTGGTATCGGGCCGGCGGCTTGTCAAAGCCATGGCGCTTTAATTTCTTTAAATCGGAGCAGAACGCCAGAAATTGATATCCCCCGTTACACTGTTCATCGATCCAACCAATTCCCTTTACAACCTGTCTCTTATTGAATTTACCAATAGATAAAACGAAACGGAGAAGAGAAGAGAATTACTTATCATTACCAATTATCAATCTCTTCCAAAAACGCTTCGTCGAGTTTTTTTACTCGTACAAAGGAATTTCGCTTTCGAAGCAAAAAAAAAAAAAAAGAAACTCGGAGGAGCTCGAATTTCGTTTTGCAAATCGGTGGTTGCAAAAAAGAAATTTAAAGAATTTATTCGTTGAAATTTGCAAATTTATGAGAAATTAATTTAATTTAAGCCAATAATAACAGTTATGAAAAATTAGCCAGCCGGACTGTACTCGAAAAAAGAAAAAAAAAGGATCTGATTGGCCTGAAGAAGAAGAGAATGTAACGCGAAACTTGCTCGAGCGAGGAAATAAAAGAATAGAATAAAATTCAATTTGCTACCAGGCGGATCGTTTAACGAGGCAATAAATATCGCGTGTGTCCAGGGGAAGAAGGCGAATCGTTGGGATCCGGTACCCGATGCTGCCGGCATTGGGGCTGCTCCTGGTGTTGACGGACGCCGGAGCTGTTCACCAACAGTCGAACCTTCTCCTATCCTACACGAACGCGTCGTTTGGGGCCACGTCTGATCGCGGTATTTCAATCACCAGGGTTCTGCAGGACGGGGAACTCGAACGTGTGATCCGGTTGCCTGGAATTTGCGCCAAGGAGACCATCGTCAATTGGGGGTAAATCTTTCTCTTCTTTCGCGAGAAGAGACGATCGCTTCACCGTTAATATTAGCCTAAGCTTTTGTAACTGATATTTTTGGAAAGTCTTTTTTCTATCTATCTCCCTCTTTATAAACGATAAGTTTTCGAGGATATATTTAAAATTCTTCTTCTTCTTCTTCTTCTTCTTCTTCTTCTTCTTCTTACAAGATTCTTCCTTCTTGTTATTTTTTCTCTTTTCTTTTTTTCTTCTATCAAACATCGATCCATGAATATTTATTTATTATATATATCATAGAATTCGATAATGCCATTTAAATTTTAATATTAAAACAGCGAGGATTCGTGAACTAGTTCTTTGTTTACTCAAAACTTGCTCAACTCATCGCTTACACGCGATTGAAGAAAATTTTAAATATTCTCCTCGATTGTTTCGATTGTTTTTTTCGATCGACGTTGGAGCAACATCGTGCGAGTCCTCTTTACCCTGAATAACATTCCTTCGGTTAGGAGAGCGAATCTCCTCGAGAGAGAGAGGGAGAGAAAAAGAGCGCATCCCTTGACTCGCAACCCTCTCCGGCTGGAGACGTAGGAATCGGTGTTAGACGAAGATGAAAACAATGCCTCCTTTCATTATTGCCGATACGCGTGGGAGCCACGAGACTGGCCACGTATGCGTATTTAACTTCGGCTCACTGTCTCAATACCACGTCGTTTTTACATCGGCTAACCGATACCGGCCATTCGTTTCCTGGACGCGTCCTCGTCAGCCGGAAAGCTCATAGAATTACAGCACCGCCGTGCTAAATCGAGTTGTTCGCTGTCTTCTTTCTTTTTTTTTTTAAAAAGTGACTCGCACGTGCCACTCCCCTTTTTTCTTTCGAGAAACGCGAATTCTTTCGGCTCGAAAAATTCTTGTAAAGAAGAATTTGATCCGATAATATTTTCAATCGTCAAAAATTATATCTTTCGTCACGTTTGATTATTATAAAGAAAGGAGACAATTATGCTGAATTATCACAGGATCGTTAAATATATCGCTATAAATTTTCGGATCGAAAAACAATTTATCGCATTCAGCCGTGGACAGTGACCGCTAAGCCAGGCGAGGCCTTAAGCCGAAAAGCGGCAAGTTAAGTAAGCAAGGATTAGGCGGAGGCAGGAGACCGAACATCGAGAACACGGCCCCCGGTTGCTGGCCTCGGACCAGCGGTTGTAACTCATCTGCGGATGCTCTCACGAGGATATCAGGGAATTCCACGACCGCGAAACGTCACCTTGCACTTAAATCGGTGAAAGCTCTTTTGCTGTAACGAGAAAAGCACGCGGCTTGCCATGTTCTCATGATTCAAACCCCGTTTCTGAAACCATCCATTTTTCAACGCGAGAACGAAATCTTCTTCCTCTTCTTCTTCTTCTTCTTCTTCTTCTTCTTCTTCTTCTTCTCGACGGATATATTTAAGGAAGGAGAAAAAGTTCAAAGTTTATTCCATCCACCGATTGCTTTTTGTTCGTTTCGAGACGAGGTATATAATATAATGAAATAAAAATAACATATGACTGGAACGGATAATCGTAAATTAACATTTCGGATGAACGCGTCGAGGATAATTAAACGTTGTTATCGAGGGAGGGGACCTCAGTTAGCGAATTTAACGACTGTCCAAGATATTTATCGATGCAACGAAAAGAAGGCGGAGGGAGGAGCATCAATCATAGGTGAGGGTTAATCACGAGGAAGAATCGTGCGACGCGTGCGTGCAGTCAATCTAGCGTGAATTAAACGCGCGTACGATAATAGCCATTTCGAATCAAGGATACATCCGTCCTTTTGCAGTTCGTCGTCGATCCTAAAAAAAAAAAAAAAAAAAATAAAACTAATTGACCAAATAGCGTATCAAAAAAAAAAAATAATAAACCACTTGAGAATTGTTGTTTTTTTAAAGAAAAATAAATATTTCTCCGATAGATACACGGACGTAGCATTGAGACAAGTGTGGATACAGAAGACGGGCAGAAAATTGCAATTGATATACGAGGGTGGCACGTTGACCGACTGCATGGACGACATACTCACAGATAGCGATGAGAGATCTTGTACGTCGCATTTGGACGACGATTATGATGACGAGATATCCGTGGAATTGTTCGAGGTGGACGGCCAGGAGGATGCATCGAGGATCCCCCAGGATCTGTCCTGGCTCTCCTCCGTGTCCAACTTACGTCATCGATGCACCCACGTAAGGAACAGGGCGCGAAATCAACTGATTTCTCAGCATCGGCGAAGGTATAAAAATCTGTGATAAACAAGAGAGAGCTTAGATATAGGATAAAATGAAATCTTATGTGATATTGTTTCGATAATTATTATTAAAAGATATAACGAAAATCTTTTATTTTAAGCAAGAATGATGGAGCTATTTTCTTAAACTTAACTTATTTTTATAACTATTTTTTATTTTTAAATTTTTAAATTTATGAATATTAACTAACTAGAAGATCTAACTATTTACGAAATAAAAATAAAATGAAACGTTGGTATAATTTTGATTTTTATATAACGCAGGAAATATTCAAAGCTTTTAAATGGAACGAATAGCGGCCACCGTCAGAGACGAGGTAAAAGCCGTTCGCGAAGAGACTTGTTGATGATCCCAGGAACACAATGGTGCGGCCGTGGTCATCGGGCCACGAAATATACGAACTTAGGCGGTTTTGGCACAGCAGATGCTTGCTGTCGAAGACACGACACGGCGTGTCCCTTTTTCATCCCGGCTTTCGAGACACGCTACGGTTTCTTCAATTGGGGTATTTCAAGCATGATGCATTGTGCCTGTGATGAACGGTATTGAACATCGATTGCATTTAAACATTATCCGTTAAAAAATCTGAATAGAAATCAAACGTATCATTTTTCTTTTTTTTTTACCATATTTATAGATTTCGAACGTGTTTGAAGATGGCGGGCACAGCATCGGCAAATTTTATCGGCAAGATTTTCTTTGATGTTTTAAGAACGAAATGTTTCATATTGAAACCACAAAAGGTTTGTACGAAATGGTCCTGGACGGGCAAATGCCAGCATTATGAATATCGAAAACAGGCTCATGTTCGCGATAATGTTCCTTATCATTAAAATGGAAAAGTAGCGGGTATGTTTGGGGATATTCTTTTTCTAGAAATGTCAATACCAATTCTCAGGGATGTAATAATTTATCGAAAGTGTTCGACCATGACTTGAAGGGATGCAGGACAGCAGATCAAAGATAAAAACAATCATCCTCTTTAACCGTTTAACTACATGAATGACAATACATAGTGATCACGATAGAAAATTTAAGCATTATATTAAACAGATTTGAAACAATTTAATATATTTCTCGCAATTTTTCTCAAATAATGTTGAGTTAATTTTGATTTGCAATAAAAAAATAAATTCAAATATCTGAAATATCCCAAATAACAATCATAAATCTGATATGTAATAAAAATTTATAATAGAAATTTTCAATTTTTGATTTTTCAAGATCAAATTCTCTTTAAATGTAAAAAATAATAATAATAAAAAAAAAAAAAGAATAAATGAAATCGAGAAATGAAATCGTTTGAAATAGACAGGGTATCATTTCTATTATCTATATCTATATGCTAACTATGTAGTCTTTATTGTTCTCAAAGATGCCAAATAAATTATTCTGTAGATAAATCATAATAAAAATGTACATATATTACGAATAGCATAATTTTTAAAGCATGAAAAATCTAGAAAAATTGAATGCATTAAAAAATAGTTTAATAGTTTATTAAACTATTGTTATTAAAAATGATAGTTAAAAAATTTGGAAGATCTATTTCTTTAAAATCGTTGAATTATATAGTTAGAAATCTGAACAATAAATTATTAATTTATTTTTATTTTAATTCCTCTACGATATATCTCTATGATAATATTAATTTTATGTTATTTATGCATGTATTTAATATATTTATGTACATGAACGAAGCATGCTTTTGAATAATAATAATAATGTATAAAAATGTTGAAAAAAATTCGAGATTATAACTATCCAATAGTATTTAAATATTCAAATATGCTACTTAAATAAAATATATCAAAATAAATCATATTAAATAAATATAAATTAAATACACGATATGTCTTCATATTGTATAAATGAAAATAATTCATATACATCATAAAGCGTCAAAATACTTAATAATAACTATATAATTGTAAATATGTATAATAGGAAAACAATATTATATCATCTTTAATAAAGAATACATTACATTGTAAGAATAATTACAATAAAATCTTATGAAGAATTATAAAATATATTGTTGAATATATTATTATTTTTATTTTTTTTCTGTATTTTGAAATTTTCATTCAATTATTTCATTTGAATTTAGATAGAACTTTTACTTTGGCGCGTTATTACATACACGTGTTTCCGTTAGCCAACTTGCCAAAAATGCGCAGTTTTTTATATCTATAAAAAAATGAATGCATATATATTTAAAATTTAATTTTCTGAATAATTAAAATTTTTTTGTATCGTTAAAAATTTTACTACTTAATATAAAGTATTGTGCATTAGTAGAAAAAATTAAAGTCAATTCATTAAGAAGTATAAGACAATTAAAAATGAAAATGTATGAAAATGAAGTAAGAATAAAACATGGTGAAATCGTTTGCCCATCATCAGAATTAGATTTAGGTGCCACTTTGAAAAGCGGTCAAAGTTTTAGGTGAATTTTTTATAATATTGTGATATCCTTTAAGATATATACATAACCAACCTTTCTTTAATATTTGTAGTTTTTTATTTATAGTTTTAATATTTGTTGTTTTTTATTTGCAAATTTTTAAATAAAAATATTTTTTTCTACAAATAAAATGTTTTATGATATAAACATATTATATGTTTTTTTTCTTATTTATACATATTATTCATAAAATAATTATATTGTATAGATGGTTTTGTCATAACAATGGATATCGAGGAGTATTTGATGGATGTGTTTGGACTCTTATGCAAAATGATACACATTTGTCCTACATTGTACAAGGTCCATTAATAGATTCTAAAAACTATGATGAGATTTTATCTGAATACTTCAGATTGAATGAATGTTTAACAGATCTATGCAAAAAATGGTCCGCAATAGATCAACATTTTAAAAAATCCTTAAATAAAATAAGCGGTGTTAGAATATTAAATCAGAATGTTATTGAAAATGTTTTTTCTTTTATATGTAGTTCAAATAATAACATTCAAAGGTATGTATAAAAAAATATTTTAGTTTATTAATTTTATTATTACCTTCTTTATTTTAGAATATCAAGAATGGTAGAAAAATTATGTACATTGTTTGGTGAAAAAATTTGTTCAGTTGAGGGCAAAAATTATTATAATTTTCCATCTATTGAAGCATTAGCAAGTAAAGACATTGAAAATATATTAAAAATGGAAAAATTTGGATATCGTGCAAGATACATAGCAAATGCAGCAAAATGTTTAATTGAACTTGGTGGAAAAGAATGGTTATTAAATTTGCACAAAAAAAATAATGTATCATATATTCAAGCTAGAAAACAATTAATTACTCTTCCTGGGATTGGTCCAAAGGTTGCAGATTGTATATGTTTGATGTCATTAGGCCATTTAGAGTCTATTCCTGTAGATACTCATATCTTTCAAATAGCTAGAACAAATTATTTACCTCATTTAAAACAATATAAAACTGTTACTCCAAAAATTCATGAAGAAGTTAGTAATTATTTGCGTGAATTATGGGGTCCTTTAGCTGGTTGGGCTCAAGCTCTTGTTTTTTGTGCAAAAATTAATGATATTGTTACTACTACCACATCAAATTATAAACATAAAAATAATACAAATAGTAAATCATTTCATCGTTAGAATTTGAAAAATCTTAAAAAATAATGTACATTTATTATACAACAATAGATTTATTATTTAAATTAATATTATATTTACTTAATAATCTTTCTTAATTTTTATATTACATCATATATTTAGAAAAATGTACAAAATCATGTAAAAAATTTAATTCTAATTTTTCTTTCATTCAAATATTTACAATATTATTATCTAATAATTATATAAGATTTATAAGATTTTATAAACTATTTAAGTCATGTTCAAAAGAATAATCATTATGGGTACATTTTTTCTTCTTTTTTTGACTCATACCCACTAATGCAAAATCAAAGTCATCTAGAATCATATAATCTGTTTGAAATTCTAATTCATCTTTCTCATTTTCATCATCGCTATCTGAAAAAAAAGCAATATATATATATATATATGTATTTATATTATATATATATATACATTATATAGTATGAATTATTTATAAATAATATATTTTTCTATAAATAAAATCAACAGCTTACTTGAATCAGTTTTTAATATATCAGCAAAAATACTTTGAGTAAGATATCGTAATCCAGGAAACATAGATGATAAATATTCTCTATGTGATGATTTTAATACAGATAAGCAAGTTACTTGTAAAGACACTGGTACAGAACAACTATAAGTCAATCTCATTTTACTTTGCGCAGCTGTGGAACATACCATAGGATACAATATAAAATCTCTTAATCCAGTAAAAGCAATACCTAAATAAAGAAATTCATTATAAGAAAAAAATGTAAAGTGCTAATAATTATAACATCAAATTTACCTAATGATTTTCTATTAAGGAAAAATTCCAAAGTGCCTCTCCAAGTATCCAAGTATATACCCACTAAACTGCCTTGTCCAAAACAAGGGCCATATTTACGTTTTTCACCACCATGTTGTATGTATCCTTGATAAGAAAAACCAAAAGACTCTCTGTCAATCCCAAGAAATGAGCAGAAAATATGTTTTGTATTATTTAAATCCACCTTATTTGTTCCAACTCCAACCATCTAAAAATATTTCATTATTAATAAAAAATAAAAATATATATTCATAATATTTATAATATATATATGAAAAAAATAATATATATTTTACGTTAATAATATACATGTATTATTAATTCCCATTGAAAACACTTACAATATCTGTTCCATAAACAGGTGTGAGCATTTTAATTTCCCAATAATGATATCTTCCTTTTTCTAATATTTTATTACCTCTTACAGCTGCTGTGCCATAACTATATCCATTGTGAAATTTAACTTCTAAATCATTTTTTGATAAAATTATAGTATATGTAGCATTTTCTTTATCCCATGCCCATTCATGTACTAAATATATAAATAAATTATAATTTAAAGAATAATATTTATATGAAGTTTAATATAATAGTAATATTCTTAAAAAAATTAGATTCAAATTAAAGAGTTGTTAACTTGTTTTCAAATAAAAGAGAAAAAAAATTTTAATATTATTTTAAATATTTCTTTATATTACCATCATTTTCTCCACAACTACAATCTTGCGAATTACAATTGCAAAACTTTGCATACTGACCCAAGGATAGAGGATCGTATTCGAAATTCATAATTCTAAAATTCTAAAATTAAATATTTTTATTATTAATTATTCTTTCACAAATTAAATTATTACGATATAAATATATAATATTATAGTCTGATTTACTTACAGTTGACCCTGATCTTTAACTGCTGAAAAGTTATTTGTATACATCTATATTATTTGTATACATCTATATATAAGACATAGCAAACCATGTTTCTATATATATATATATATATATATATATATATATATATATATATATTATA